CCCACATGCCCCCTGTCCCCACCCCAGCCTGATCCAGTTGTCCGCATCCCGCCCCCAGCCTGGGCTATCCCAAATGTCCCCTGTCCCCAGCCCAGCCTGGTCTGGCTGTCCCCTTCCCCTGTCCCTAGCCTGGGCTATCCCAAATGTCCCCTGTCCCCTGCCCAGCCTGGTCTGGCTGTCCCCTTCCCCTGTCCCTAGCCTGGGCTATCCCAAATGTCCCCTGTCCCCTGCCCAGCCAGGCCCCTCTGCCCGTCTCTGCCCTCTCCCATCACCACCACTCCAGCCTGTGCATGCAGGGACGAAGGGAAAGATTTCCTGGTGACACCGTAAGACCATCTCTAGGAAGAAAACTTTAATTTCACACATCAGCCTTGCGAGTCCTTATTTCTCATATTTCGGCTGTAATTGTTTGCAATGTTTTGCAGGAGAACCAGTCCCAAAGCTGAGCCACAAAGGTTACTTGTGCTAGTGGAGAAAACCGTAGATTTTTTTAGCTTCCTGCAAGAACGGGCAAGTTTGGTTCCTAATTTAAAGTCTTTGTTGTGCGTTAGATGTGTCGGTAAGGCTTCAGCAGCAGCAGAGCAAAAGACCTGCTGCAGTCGGGGTAATTTTGAGACATCATCTGAGCATGGGAATTTGCACCTTCTAATTAAGAAAAGGGGGGTAAGTGGTTCTGCAAGTCACGTTTTGTAACACATTTCATTGGCAGCTGTCAGGACAGTTCATGTTCCTCCCAGTTTCCTAATTCCTCCTGGAAACCAGGGGCAAATCCAGGAACAGAAGGTGGTTTTCTTAAGTGCGGTCCCAGCCCTGTCTCCTAAAAAGACTTTCTTTGACCTGAATACATGTCCCATTCTGAAAGTCAGACGGCCCTGTGTTACCAGTATAAATCAGGAGTATCCACAAAGTGTGTCATCCAATTGCGAGCACAATCAGAGAATGTAATTTATATGGACGTTATCCTTATGGAGTTTGTTGTCTGAATAATTTCATTTTTCCCTAAGAGAATAAACCCCATAACTTTAAACAAAGCCGTAACAGAACCTCAAGTCTGCAGAAGAGATAAAAATCTGGACTAAAATTGTTTTTTAAACCATTTGGGGGAAAAAAAAAGGTGGAGCCAAGTAGCCGTACTAGCACAATGCTATTTCCTTCTAAACAATTCCATGATGGGACCTTTATAAAAGCAACCGATCATCAACCTCAAATCGTTTCAAACAGAAGCTGTCCCTTGGGACATCTCGCTTCCCATCGCAGTTAGGGAGCTCTGCGTGTCCCAGCTCTGATCGAATAACATCCCTGGGGCAAGCCCATGATTTGCCTGTTCGGAAAGGTAGATTTAGTAAATTATTTACAGCATGTTTAGTGGCCTTTTAAAGCACTTCAGGGGTGGAATATGGGGAAGAGCCAGCCTGTAGGAATCAATCACTTTGTGCGGATGGTAACAAAGGCTTCAAAATACAAAGCAGTCGGGGAGCCTGGCCCTTGTTAGCCCTCCCCTGAAGCCCTAAGACTGCAAAAGAAAAGAAAAAAACCTGCAGGTTCTCTTGTTGCAAAGTCCTGCACATATGGGAACAGGCTGGGGACCAGGCAGGCGGAGATGGCAGATCGCCCTTTCGGTGGCCTGAGATCAGCTTCAATCCATCACAAAGCCCCACCCAGAGTTTCGTAACCACTTTAAACTGGCAGAAATTGGCGCTTCTGCCAAAAGAAGCCTCCTCCGCTCCCAGCTGCTTGTTCCCTCCCTTGTGCTGGCACACGCATTCGAGTGGCTTGCATAAAATGAGCTAGAACGGGCTGCTCTGAATTAAAATTAATTCAGCACACGCAGAGGAAAAGCTAATTTTTAACATCGGGAAGCCATGTAGCCACCGTTCCCACAAAACCCAACTTCAGGAAAGAGCGAGCTAAAAGCAGTGGGCTTTGTTTTGCCAATCTACACTGAAATACCTAACTAGAAAAAGCAAAGTATGGGGCAAGGCAGTGCTGGAGGGTCTTGGGCCCCTTGGGATCCTCCTCTGCTCTTCCTTGGGGTCTCCTTGGATGCTCCCCACAAGGAGAGCTTTGGTGGGGTGGGGGCATCCAGAGGACCACGGACACCATTTTAAGCGTGAACTGGATCTTCTGCAGGCAACGGAGTGGAGCATCCTGCCTCGAGGCACGCCGTCCTTGCACGTATCTCCCCTGAGATGCATGCGGAGGGCAAAGGAGAGACAAGGATGCTACATCACTAAAATAAATGCTTTTTTTTCTTTTCAGCCCACCATGAGGAAGCACTGCCCATTCAGCCGCCTCACAGCTCGATGCCCGTCACGAGCAAAACATCTGAAAGCTACGGGAATTCACAGCACTTGTTCTTTGTT